ATGTGGATATGAGATACACCACTCTCCACACACTCACACTTAGCAGGGTGTTGTGTTTCAGGCTGACAGCCAGGTGCAGTGGCGACATGAGGGTGGCGTTGAGGATGTTGGGGTTGGCCCCTAGGCTGAGCAGAGCCTCACAGCTCTCTAGAAGGTTCCGGTCCACAGCCCAGTGTAGCGATGTGCTGCCTTCAACATCCTGCGCATCCAGCTCTGGGAGGAAAGGGGAGCGACAAAAAAGTTTTGTCTGCCCCCAGTAAACCCAGGAGGGAAGTGTGCAAAGTTCATTCCTTCTTATCATTGTGAAGTCACATTGAAACGGAACATTTTCCTGATAGTCCTTGAGTATTTCATTTGTTGCACAATTTACAGCCCATACAGTTTCTCAGAATGGTCCTTAGAAGCCACATGTGGCTCTTTAATTTCATTCATGCCATATATGGGATGGACGCCCCACCCGTTAAATATCGGGCTTCTGTAAAATATCGGGCCCCCTGCATCTGCCGGGCATCCATGCCCTTACGGCGCCCCTGGGAACGGACACTGCCTTTTAACTTCTCCCCCCTCCCCCATGCTATGATGTCACCTCTCACCTTGTGCCCCGGCTGCCTTGACGATGAGCTGCATGGCACGCTGACATCGTCCCACGGTGGCGTAGTGCATGGCGCTGGCCCCGCCCACATCCCGCATGGACAGCTGTTTGGGGTACAGCCTGCCCAGGTGCTCCAAGGCTGCTGTGTTCCCTGACAGGGCCCACTGGTGGCGTGGAGGTTAAACTGCATTACAGACCAAGACTGCTGTGTTTCCTGACAGGGCTCACTGGTGGCGTGGAGGTTAAACTGCATTACAGACCAAGGCTGCTGTGTTCCCTGACAGGGCCCACTGGTGGCGTGGAGGTTAAACTGCATTACAGACCAAGGCTGCTGTGACAGAGACATGTCTCTTCATGCAAGAAACTATTAGAAAAGGGACTCTTTTAGGTACTTAGAAGATGCTATAAAGATTCTACTCCAAGTCAACATTGACAAAATCAACAACACTGACAAATCTACCAGCATGGGTTTTTAATTTCATTCAACTTGATATTTATTGGGGAGCCACAACCAGAGCTCCAGCAGCATCTCCCTAACCCTAACCCCAACCCTAACCCTAACCCCAACCCCAACCCTAACCCTAACCCTGTTGAACATTAAAGTCTTTTGACTGTCATTAAACACTGCTTTCCCTGATGCCTGATACTACAGGTGGTATTCGCTTTATGATGACAATGAACTTATGATATTTCAGTTCCTGGTCTTAGAGGAATGTCATACGAGGAAAGGTTAGTTGAGCTAAATCGGTTCAGCTTCAAGCAAAGGAGACTGAGGGGGGACATGATCCAGGTCTATAAGATTCTAACAGGTTTGGATGCTGTTCAACCGAATAGTTACTTCAGCATTAGTTCAAATACAAGAACTCGTGGCCATAGGTGGAAATTAGCGGGAGAACATTTCAAACTGGATTTAAGGAAGCACTTCTTTACACAGCGTGTAGTCAGAGTATGGAATAGTCTTCCTGATAACGTAGTGCAAGCTGAATCTTTGAGCTCCTTTAAATCAGAGCTAGATAAGATTTTAACAACTCTGAGCTATTAGTTAAGTTCTCCCCAAGCGAGCTCGATGGGCCAAATGGCCTCTTCTCGTTTGTATAGTTCTTATGTTCTTATGTTCTTAATTTCACGATGGTGCAATAAAGATCCACACTCAGTAGCCACCAGAGAAAACTTCTGAATTTTGATCTGTTCCCTGTCTATTAATATGCCGTAAAAGACTTTCTGCCGATGCGGGGCGATGGCCGCATCTACGTTCAGTGTTATGATTGTGAGCATAAACATCTCACAGTGTTTAACAACATATCATTTAGTTATTTATTTGTCATATCATATTCATATTTGGCTTATGATGTTTTCAACTTTGATGGGTTCATCAGGAGATAAGCTTATCATACGTTGAGGAACATCTGTACTTACTTCAAAGACATGACTGGAAGGCTGAGCTGGATCTTCCTCATCTCCTACACATTGGTAGCTGGGGTCCATTGGGTCTACTTGGGGTCTAGAGGCATCGCATGTTAAGGATCACATCCATTACTTTGGTCGCATAATCATTAAGTATAATAGACAGTAGCATCATGCACTGAGATGTGGCTTATAGATGAAATGGCCATCAAAGTCATCGCCAAAGCAACAGTCTGCATTGCTTTCCAGGTTAAATCAAGTGAAAAGTCATGGTTTGTTTTTCCGCTTTGAAACAAATACAGATGCGTGCTTTAATTGCAGCTTTTTGGTCGCGGAAGTGACCATAAACACAGTTGCAGCTGTCAACTGTCAATACATATAGCTACTTACACCAAAATTGTGGAAACTGGCCAAAATTGTGGAAACTCTTCCAATTTTTAGAGATAGCAGAACTTTATTGAGCTCCAGTTACTTATTTAATTGTCCAATGTATGATATTATTAACATTCTTTAATATTTTATAAACATTACTGCCAATATTCCTGCAGTAATTTTTGAAGCGTAATGCCAAAAATGCAAGGTGTTTCCACAATTTTGGCCACTAGTGTAAATGATGACTTTATCCAAAGCATTTGTGTATTTTTAATCTTTGCCGCTGAAGCAGTTCTGGAGCTGTGTTGGGGCAAGAATCATCCTGCGATTCGAACCAACTCCCTCGTAATCCAACGACAGCCAAGGGCTCTCCAGAGGCTTACAAATCAGCCAGCGCACAGGAAGTTTCTTATCAGAGATAAACTGATTTTGGCCCTTACATGAAATCAGTTGATTGTCTAAATTACATTTACTTTGACATTGTAAGGAGACTGGGTCATTTGTGTCAATAAAAATGTTATTGTTTCAGGAGAAATGAAAACAGAGCCGTGAATGAAGAAGGAAAGTTATCATACAGAATAATTTTTTACCATAAGACACGTCAGTAGCAGTAAATATTTAGGCCGTCATCATTAGGTGGTTATACTTTAGAGTGCAAATCAATCTTATCTGGCAGAATGTTTTGACGATCTACAGAACAGCCCCACGGAAACCCACCTCTCTCAGCGTGCATGAATTAGTTTCACAACATTAACCTGACAAACACAGGAAGTCATGAAGTTGACAACGTTGCAGGTGACAACGTAGACACAGAACATCCCTCTCACCACACCTTCCAAGGCTCTGAGGTCTACAGCCAGGCATTCAGCTGATGGAGCCTTGGTCTCGTGACAGTAACAGAAGATCGGCTGTTTACTCCTGCAGATACGACATGAAGGGACATCGGTTTGATCTTGAGCTGCCGCTTTACTACATGCAGACAGATCTCAGTATACAGGAAAGTTACCCAAAGAGCCGCTCCAGTCTGAGCTGGCAACTTAATTAAAGAGACTGATTCGGAATTTCACTAAGGACAAGATGGAGTCCAGCAGACAATGTCATTGACGGAAACGGCACGATATATGGAGCTCGAATTCAAGCTCAGTTAATTTTTCATTCCAGCCATATCTAAGACAGAGTGGGATGGAACTGTGTCCTCAAGACCAGAAAATGTGCAAAAGAGGAGGGGAAAATAAGGAACAAAGGAATGAAGGAACAATATGAAGACTGGGCATGAATTCATAAAGTGCAACCCAGTACCTAAGTTAAAAGTTTTAAAACAAGTTTCTTCCCCGACTATACAGCCGTGAAGACAGCAGCATGTGTGACAGGGAGACGGGGCTTACCTCTGAGAGTCGGTGGCTGAGGAGTCAGGGATCAACTGTGCAGTGGGAGGGAGCTTTTATAGCGGCAGGCAGTGTACGCACTGCATGGGCGAGCGGAAGAGCTGCATTGTGTCCCCCAGCCAGCCCCGGCAGACAGAGCAATGCTGATGGCCACTTTGCAAGAAATGAGCCATGAAGCGGCTTGATTCGGTCGTGGAATATTTAATTTGTTAATGATACCTCTTCTTTGAGCAAATGCATTAGCGGTATGAATGTTATTTACGTAGAGGTACCCCCCCCCCCCCCACTGAGACTGTGGCATCGGGTTCCTATCTTTGGCTGTGGAATTAACATAAAAGTCTGTACCATCAGGGGTTTATGGTAACTTGCCAGAAACCATCACACATTAAGAGTCTTAACCCTCCTCAATTGTTTCTCTGCTGATGTTCTGATTCTTCCACCCTCACCGGTTCTTTTAACCTCCTGATGTATTATAACATATTACGCGTGTTTTATGCACTTTAAGTGCAAATCTGAGAACGGAAATGAAGATTATATGTCCCCATATTCAGGGGCAGATTGTCATATCTGGGGAGCCTGGGCTGACATGAAAATGGTCGCTCCGGTGCTGCCGATTTAACTAACTGTTCCATTTTGACCTCTCTCCAGAATATCAGCACCTTTTCGCTTTGGGGTCCTTGTAATGCTGTAATGCTGAGGATGCTTTTTACCCCATGGAACAGGAGAAAAGCAGCACAGAAAAAGATCACATGGAGATGAACTGCACACAGCGGGAATTTCTCCACCCATGGGAAGGAGATTCGCTTGGGGGAAGTTTTTTATAGATTGAGACTGATGTCTTGCAGTCACATATCTCACTTTTTATAAAGCCACTGAAAGAGCAACTGACGATGGTAAATGTCTTCCAACCAGCGTATAAAGCACAAGATCGTAATGAACCTAGAAGCCATTATTGAATGCCAGTCCATCACCTGGATTGAATGCCAGTCCATCACCAGGCTCGTAGTACAAAATGTCATTCCTAATTCAAGTTCCAGGTGAAATATTTCACCAAGAAACTCCTGCTTTTGGGGACCATCTTAATCTCTATTTCTCCACATAAAAACACAATACATAGCAACAATAGCAACAATGTCATCTGGCTAAATGAACCAATTGGTTTGTGGACTGGAAATTATGAGATAAAGTGACATAATAGTCTTATTATTGAGATTAAACGAGTTAAAAGTTGTTTAGTAAATGATAAGCATGACAAGAAACCTGTTCTGACAATGGTACAGAGTTAGAATACATAAATGTGTAAGTTACAAAACAGGGAGTACGGACACAGGTAAAAACATCACACCTCAAACTGCACCTCCCACGCGTCCAAGTGTGCTGCCTGTCAGACTTCCCCTCTTCTGCAAACTTATGAGTCCTCAGCTCTGACAGAACTGGGGCCTTGGACTGTGACTTACGCAGCCGAGGGAGTAGAGCAGCACTCAAGCTGAAACGGGCATAGCTGGTGACAAGGTCACACAAATAAACGGGATCAGGCAAGCGGCGAACGGGAGGCAAGACACTTAGGGAGTAAAGCTGAACACAGAGAGAGCACCACAAGTCAGCACGCGAGCAAATCCAAGCTGCCAATCCAAACAGCACGGATTCACACACAGAAAGCCACCAAAAGATAGGAGGAATAACCAAACATCAAGACCGAGCAAGAAACCATACTCAGAAAGTTCAAATAGACTGATTACAGACTGAACCTCGTCAAGGTGAGTGTGGCTATTAAGGTTAACTCAAAAGGTTATTCTCTACTGGATCTGACTCAAATGTATTAGAAATCATTTATATTTCATTTATTTCTCTGACACTTTTAGGCAAAGTGACTTAGAGTAGAGAGAAGGCTTACAATTTATATGCACTCCCTGGGATTTGAACCCACAACCTATGCATTGTCGGTACAATGCTCTCTGAGTTTCAGAGAGTCCAAGTGGTTGTTCTACTGCAGGGGTGGGGAACCTGTTCCATGGCGGGCCAGTGTGGGTGCAGGTTCCGCACCCCTGTTCTACCGTAATGCACCAAACATGTTCAGATCATTTTTGTTGTGGAGTCCAAGGAACAGGCAGCAGATGTCATCAGCTCCTGAATGGGCTGATTTTTATGGGGTCACACCTGCACTGCACTATGTGCACAACAGAGCCCTGCGCTTACAGCTATTACGTTTATCAGTAGCTCAGTAATTGGTGTTCTTCAATAAACGCTATAAATATCTTCAATTATGTACATTGAAGGGCGGCACGATGACTAACACTGTTAGCTCACAGCAATTCTGTGTTTCTGCTCATAATGTCTGTTGATTATGTCTATTCGTTATTTTAGGAAATAGGAAATGCCCCTCTCTGCTGAGAAACAACCAAATCCTCAGTGGCTGTTGTCACTTGGCTTTATACAGAGATTTAAGGCTAAAGTTCAGTACTTACTGTGGCTAATTTCCCTTAAGCTCTATGAACAAAAACAGATGTAAGGCAGCTATAAGGCCTGACTCATTAACATTAAAATCAGGCTGCCCTGCAGTCCATAAAATCATGCATTAATATAAGGCCTGTCTCATTAACATTAAAATCAGGCTGCCCTGCAGTCCATAAAATCATGCATTAATATAAGGCCTGTCTCATTAACATTAAAATCAGGCTGCCCTGCAGTCCATAAAATC